TCCCCCTTTCCTTCCTCCTTCCCTCTCTCCTTCTAGGCTAGGATACCCACCCCAAACAAAAACTCCTTTGGATGAAGCCAGCTGAGCCGGTGTGCACATGACAGCCAGAAAGGAAGTCACAGCAACAAATGCAACTGCATTTGTGTGAGGCTGTTTGGAATGGACATAAAAAGATACTTATGTTGCCTTAAAGCTGTTCTGTGTCTTTCCCCCCATTTTCCTGCCACAAACTGCCCTATAGGTGTCATACAGGTAGGATCGGGTACTGGGGACCTTGGCAGCAGTTGGATCTTAACATGTAGGATTTATTCCAAAAGAAAATAAAAGAGACTGAAAAAAGAAAAATAAATTCCCCAAAAAGCTGCAAGAGGGGTTGTGAGGCAGGCTGTGACATTGGGGAGGGAAAGAATAAGAGGCAAGAGAAGCTAAGATGGGGTCTTCTGGCAGCCTTCAGGGCTACAGCTGGGATGTGATCTCCTTCCCTTCCTCCTCTCTCTTCCTTCCTTACCTAGTCTAACAAGCACCTGTGGCTATGAGCCTCTGCTGTTTGGCTGCCCTCTCCCCCTGCGATCTTACACACTGGCAGGGTTTTGCCTGTCACCCAATTGGCTGGTGGCCAACTGTCCCATGTGGCCAAAAGGCCGGGACAAATGGTGTTTTGGCAAATGAGCCAGGCCGAAGGATATGGGGCGGAGGGGCAGAGGCTCATTTTCCAGGGCAAATGGCTAGGGAGTGCCAGCTAATGAGAAAAGCTGGAGGCAAATGGGTGGAGGTGGAAGCCTGGAGAAGGAGTTATGGCCAAAGGTAGGAGCCTGAAAGTCCTAGATCTGACAAAGGAGGGGTGAGGAAAGCATTTCAGAAAGGATCCTGCCTAGTTTTGGGGACAATAAAAGAAAGGAATGGGAACAGTACTTTCAGACTTACAAGAATTTGTTAATGTAACCTTACAATAGAGATAAAGCTAATTACTGCTGGGCGGGCTTCCTCTTTTGGACTGCCTTGCAAGACTGGCAGTATCTGCATTATCTTCAATACATGCTCTGGGCACTGTAGGAAATGCCTAAGTAGTCTAATTCCAGAAAGAACAAATACAATTGAACTAAAAAGAAAAAAAGCATTTTGAGATGAACTAAATATATAGATTTTGGCTTCTCTTTCTCTATAACTTCGTTGCAATTATCTGGAAACCAACTTTGTTCTACAGTATAGAGCAGAAACATGAAAAATTTTCTGGAAGATGTTTGGATGATTTAAAGCATATTCATAATGTTTCTTAAAATTCCCATGGCATTGTCAAAATGAAAGTGTTAAGTACTTTGAATATGTTAAGTACCTTACTGAGCCTGAGTCTGCCTCATCCATTCACCCGATCTAACAGAAAGTTTCTCCTAATTTCTAAAATTCATTCTTTTATGAATTTGTATAATACTGTAGCTCTACCAATGATTAGAAAATGAGTCATAATTTTGGATGTCAATAAAAAAACGTCTTGATCAGGCTCAATATTGTAGGAAGTTATCAGCCAGCCCTCTCCCTGAAAAATGATATATCTTACTAAATATTGAAAAGGCAGAATATTATGTTTCCCTGGATGTGAAAAGGAAGAAACATGTTTCAAAAAGACAAAGTAACTCTCCCTGCAGGTTCCTGCCCGCTCCCTTTGTCAATAGGCCATTAAGAAGGCCAAGTCAGTCCCTTTACATAATAAAGAGTTCTCCCCTTCAGCTCCAGGGAGATAGGATTAAGGCATGACTAGCCTTTACCCACTCACCACNAAACCCAACAGCTTAATAATGAAAGGAGATTTTCCATCCGGCACTACTGTTCATCTCTCTTCCCTACCTTTGAGCATGTACCGAGTTCTCTAATTGTGTCAAACAGATGGCCAGTCTTGATCAGATGGGATTAATTCTATTTATGCCACATGCTTCAGATGACTGCTTAGCCAGATCCTGAATCAATCCAATGCAGCCTTTCCATATAGGTTAGTCCTCCATTTATGACCACAAATTGAGACCGAGTCTTATATTAAGCAAACTTTTTGCGAAGTGAATGTGTCCCATTTTTTGATTTCTCTCGCCACGTTTGTGAAGGGAATCACTGCAGGTGTTAAATCAGTCACACAATCATTAAGTGAATCTGGCTTCCCCGAATCTCCATTGCTAAGCGAGACAGCTGTTCAGTGAGCTTGGACCCATTTTAGAGCTTTCTTGCCACTGCTGTTAAGTTTGTCAAATGGTGGTTAAGCGAAGCCAGTTCCCCCACTGACTTTGCTTGGCAGTCCATCGCAAAAGAGGGACCATGTGACCAAGGACACTGCGACCTTCATAAATGCAAGTCAGTTGCTATGCATCCAACTGTAAATCACATGATCATTGGGATACTGCAATGGTCATAAGTATGAAAAATGATAATCAGTGGCATTGTAATTTTGAATGGTCAGTATATGAATTATTGTAAGTCGACGACTACCTACTGTTTTATGAAAGATCATATATGCTTCATACAACCTTCCTATGATGGCCCCATAGTGAGACAGTTGTCAAACATCACCATCCAACTATTTTAGGACCATTGTTGCAGCAGTCACTAATCAAATCCTACTGTGATTAAACTAACATCATCATTAAGTGAAAACCATGGTTTGCTATTGACCAGACAGCTGGAACTTCAGAACCAGGATATACATTCAAGGTCGTCGTACCCCCACACATAAATAGGCTATAACTTGGAATGATCATTGTGAGTGGTCAGAGATTGAGGATTTCCTGTTACAAGATTTATTGAA